GGACTGGTAGAAGAAGAATTTTCCCACAATGATATGAGTAGAGCTGACGTTTTCATTGAATTTCACATAGACATGCTTTCCCAAAAGGTGTTCCCACCCAGACAAGAGTGGACTGCAGTTTCGAACTCACATAGGTCTCGAAAACCCACTCATTTACGAAAAGAGCAATGTGGCCGATTGCTATGAAAAAATGTCAGTTTGCTTCATCGACAATTCCAGCATAACGTTCTTAATTTTAATGTGGGAAATTCAACTGACTTTCCTAGATTACTTTATTCAGCCCAATCTAACTAAAGTTATTATTCCTGCCTGATGAAGAGAATAGTAGGTAGACGGCTGATTTCCTCTGTACTGCAGCCATTTGGCTTTAATACGACCCTCAAGTTGACACAGTCCACGAGACATCCTCCCTCGTTTGAACCGAAAACGTGCCAAGCTTTCATCCATCATATGCTGGACATTCTCAGAGTTGAGACTCATTCTTGCAAAAATCCCACGTTTATGCTAAGCTAAAAGGATTGACCGGCTCTATCCTATGTGCTATACATACTCGTAAAGAAAAAATGCCGAGTCCCATGAGTCATATGACGAATGAAGGCTCAGAACATTGAAACCCGAACCGAGGGAGGAGCAAAACGTGAATCAACAGTCACCTTCTGGCGAGATCGACCTTCGAATCTCTTCATTATGCTCCTTCAGACGAGTTGAAAATCTTCACAAGTCATACACAGAAACCCGCGTTTTCTTCGTACATTTACCCTTGTCTGCTTTAATTATTTTATTTTAATCCATTTATTTGCATAATCTGCCGATTTTGTTTAGTTATTCAGCATATTCTAACCTGGCGGTCTACCGCATCTTTTACGGGCTGCAAGTGATCGGCTGGTTTCCGGCTGGACTCTTCGCTGGCTCGTGGCTCGTTCTGTTGTTGTCGCCACGGCTGGTGTGGCGACACAGTCGGCAGCGTGTTAGTCACCAATTTTGATGGGCTGGTTGAGGCTGAGGGTAGCATGCAGCAACCGGGCCACGGTGGCATCCACTGGCCGAAGACTGGGCCTCCGAGGCTGTCGTTGTCATGGCTGGTCCCATTCGTCTGACCGGCAGTTGCCGGGCCAACAGCTGTGGCAATCAGCGGTCCAGGGGCCAGATAGGCCGATAGAAGAGGCGACTGTCCCGAGGCACCAAACCATCCGGGCGCAAGAAAGCCTGGCCCCGATTGGCTGGGCTGCCTAACAAACAGGGCTTCAGGCAGCAGCATCAGTTGGCCGGGCGAATAGAAGCCCGCCGTGTAAGCAGCTGTTGGTGTTGCAGTTGGCGGCGACGATTGCTGCTGCTGCTGATCATCATACCATTGGTGGTGGTGGTGGTGGTACAGTGATTGCGACTGGGTCTGTCCCAGCGACTCAGTCGTCGGGCGGTTGGCATGGCAACCGGTTGAGTTGAATGGTTCGCAGAGGTCTGATCGTGTCTTGTCGGGCTCCGAGTCGTCGGGTCGACTGGTCTCGTCCAACAGACGCGGAGGCAAACCGTCGCCGGAGGAGAGTGCCTCCACAGCGGACGACAGCCTCGACTGGCCGATGGAATGGAGCAGTCTGGTTGGGTGTGATTGGCCCATTGTTGGTGGTGTTGCTGGGCTCTGAGACACTGGCCGGCTGAATCCACATTCCGGACTGTCTCGTGACGACTGGGCCTCGGGAAGAACTTGCTGAGGCTGCTGTTGCGGTTGCTGCTGTTTCAATTCTTCTTTTTGTTGCTGATGTTGTTGTTGTTGTTGCTGCTGCTGCTGCTGCTGCTGCTGCTGGCAGGCGAAAGGCCCAATCCTGGCCGGGTCTGGTCGAG